TTATATTCCCAATGGGATGAGAACTTTGATACTTGTATGGTTTCACAACCAGCTGGTTTCCCTTAAATGTTCCTTCAATATTTTTTTGTTGAGGAACATGTTCATAGACAGGTTCCCTCGAGGTTTGAGGATCAGTTCCTCTCTGTTCAGTTCCCCCTGTCAGGTTTCCCTGGGTGGAAGGACCTGTTCCTTCCTTTGGTGCAGCTTCAGTCTGGGCTGTGGTTTCATTTGAGTTTCTTACCAGCCCAACTGCTTCATCATCATATTCCTACCTCTCATAAAGAATGTTAGTCTTATAAAAAACCACATGTACACTTTCTTCTACACACATAGTTCTTTTGTTATAAATCCTATAAGCTTTACTAACTGAAGAATATCCCAAGAATACTCTCTCATCACTTCTGGGATCAAACTTACCTAATGAGATTTTTCTATTATTGTGCACAAAGCACTTGCATCCAAATACCCTAAGGTGGGATATAATTATCTTTCTCCCTTTAAGTAACTCATAAGGAGTCTTCTCAATAATAGGTCTAGTCATGCACCTATTTATAATGTAGTATGCAGTGTTCACAACTTCTGCCCAGAAGCTATGGGGCAATTTACTAGCAAGTAGCATAGTCTTAGCCATTTCCTCTAATGTCCTATTCTTTATTTCAACTAATCCATTTTGTTGTGGAGTCCTAGGAGCATAAAATTTATGATCTATGCCATGCTCATCACAAAATTCAGCAAATTTAGCATTCTCAAATTCAGTACCATTATCAAACCTAATTGATACAAGTTGATTACCTAGTTGTTTCTGAGTTTTTCTAACAAATGAAGTTAACATATCAAATTCTTCATCTTTAGATGTTAAAAATAGTGTCCAAGTAAACCTAGAGTAATCATCAACAATCACCATAACATATCTCTTACCACCTCTTCTCAATGTTCTCATTGGTACACAAAGATCCATATGGATCAGTTCCATCGTCCTGGTAGTACTTACCATTTTTTTGCTTTTAAAAGAGGATCTTACCTGCTTTCCCCTTGCACAAGCCTCATAAATTTTATCTTCCTTGAACTTAATGTTAGGCAACACTATCACTAAGTCCTTGGAGACTAGTTTGTAGAGTTGGCTTAGAATGGCATGTCCAAGTCTCTTATGCCAAATGAGGGGATCATTGTATAACACACTTAAGCAAGTAAGTTCATTATCTGAAAGTGTGGAAAGATCCACCACATATATGCTATTCACTCTTTTTCCCTGCAAAACTATCTTATCAGTGATAAGATTAATCACAAAGCATTTTGTAGAGGTGAAGGCTACCATGTTACCTCTATCACACAATTGTGATACACTTATTAAACTGTACTTCAGTTCATCTATCAAGTAGACATTCTCAATAGAGTGAGAATCAGACTTTCCTACCTTTCCAACCCCAATGGTCTCACCTTTCTTTTCATTTTCAAAGAAGACATTACCTCCTTTAAGGTCCTCAAGTGAAAGGAACTGGTTCTTGCTTCCTGTCATGTGCTTTGAGCAGCCACTATCCATGTACCATATTTGGCTGCTCCCCTTCACTTGGACCTACAAAAGAAAATCGGGGGTTAGTCTTAGGAACCCAAACTAGTTTGGGTCCTTTTCTATAAGCAAAATGATAAATCACATTCTTTTTAGCCCAACTTGGTAGCCTATTCTTTCCTAGAACAAATTTTTTATTTTTTTGATCTGCCTTTTCTTTTGTAGTGCAATCACTCTTGTTGTGACCAGTGTTTCCATAGTGTGTGAAAATCTTATTCTCAGGGAGTGTGAGGTACTTACTTTTGGAATCCCACTTAGGTACAGAGTTCCCAAAGCCAAGTCCTCTTCTGTTGCTACTATGGTATTCTTGTAGCCATGAAAGTGCATCAGAGGACCTGATCCATTTACAAGTTCTGTTTGGCTCATGCTTGACCTTGTTCAGATCCTCCTTTAAGACTCTTACCAGTTCATTCCTTTTATACAACCCATCTTTTATTTTTCCTATATTTTCTTCTAAAGTGAGTTATGTGTGACTAGCTGTCTTTTTACCTGTTCCTAATTTCAATTTTAGATTTTCAGATCTAAGTTCTAGGACAGTTGTATCAAGTGCATGGACCTGGTTCTTTAACACAGTATTTTCACTTTCAATTTCACAAGCCCTAAGTTCCAGATTTTTTCACTTAGCTTTCAAAATTATACATTCTGTTGACACCTGTTCCTTTTCGTTATTCACATCCTCAGATTCATCAATTAATTCTACTAATAACTCAGATAATCTTTCTTTTGACAAAAAAATAACCGTCTTTGAGATGAAGGACACTTACCTCAGTTTCTTCATCAGATTCTCCAATAGCCATTAGTGCTCGTTCATTATCATCATCATCATCATAGCTTTCATCTGAGCTTTCTCTCCAAGCAGCGACCATAGCCTTGGTTGATCCTTTGTTGTTGCCTTTCTTGGGATGAACCTGTTCCTTCTTCCTGTTCCTTCGTTCATCTCTTTCCTTCTTCCATTCAATTTCCCACAAAGGACATTTTTGTTCATGTGATCATTCTTTCCATACTTATAGCAGCCATTATTAGTTTGCTTCTCCAGAGCTCTTGCTTTGTTGTAGCTTTCACTTATTGAAGAACCCTTTCCTCTCCTTAGGTACTTATTGAAGTCTTTGGTGATCATTGCCATTTCATCATCTTCCAGATCAGAACCTTCAGTGATTCTGAGTGCCAAACTCTTTTCCTTCTTAGGTACATCCCTTTTCATGGTTTGTCTCCTAAGTTCATAGGCACTGAAATTCTTTGATTCCTGGATTCATAAGTAGTGAAATTCATCTAGTAGGAGAGTGGCAATATTCTTTGATTCCTGGATGGCAGTGATCTTGCTTTCCCAAGTAATTGGCAAGACCTTAGTGAGTATCTTCTCAACTCTTTCTTCTTCAGGGATGATCCTTCCAAGAGATTTTAGTTCATTTGTCAATGTAGTGAATCTTGCATATATTTTCTGAATGGTTTCTCCATCCTTCATAGAAAAGTTATCATACTGAGAGTATAGTAGAGTTCATCTAGATCTCTTCACCTGAGTTGTTTCTTCATGGGTCACTTGTAATGTGTCCTAAATTTGCTTAGTAATGGAACAACCTTAGATTCTGTTGTACTCATCTGGACCAAGATCACAAATAAGCCACTTCTTGGCTTTGGCATTCTTTTTCCACTTCTTGGCTTTCGCATTCTTTTTCCACTTCTTCAAATCCTCAACATTGCAATCAACTCTTGTCTTTGGCACATCTACTCTTTCAGTATTTTTCTTCAAAGTAGCCAATGGACCATTAGTAACAATGTCCCATAGCTCATAGTCCTCTCCCTGTATGTGGTCTCTCATTCTTGACTTCCACCAAGAGTAGTAGTGGCCATTAAAGAGTAGTAGCCTAGCAGTGGATTGCCCTTCCCAATTTTCAGGTGTTGCACTCATCTTGATCTTCTCCTAAGGTGTTAGTCTCTTTAAGGATAACCTGCTCTGATACCAATTGATGTTTTATACCTCAATACTACACAAGAGGGGGGATGAATTGTGTGGTGCCCAATTTTCGTGTGCACTAGATTATCGAAGGACCTGGTTCTTTTATGCGTTCCTTACACTATAGTTGTGGCATAAATAATGCAAAGTAAAGAACACAAGGGATTTTTACGTGAAAAATACCCGGCTCAAAAGGTGAAAAAACCACGACCTACTGTCCAGTAGGATTTTTCCAAACACTTCACTATAACTCTGAGCCAACAACAAAGTTTACAAACTCTTACAAACCTAAGGATTAACTCTAACCCTTATAGCAACACGCCACAAGCTGTTGCGACTATTTCAAATTAACTATAACTTGAAAAATATAACTCGAGTTTACAACCTCTTGCAAACCCAAGGATTAACTCTAACCCTTATAGCAACACGCCATAGGTTGTTGCGACTACTTTAAGTTAACTTTAACTTGAATAATACAACTCAGGTACCTAGTACAATTTGCTTTTAGGGAAGCTGGAAGGTACAACTCAAAAGCCCTACTACAATGAAACTAGAATAAAAGACAGACATTTGGATCTGGTTCTTCTATCTGGTTCATGTAACTTCGGGTTCGCACACTTGAATCACACATGAATTGCTTGCAAATTGCCTTGCTATTTTGCTCTCAACTCTTGTTTAACTTCAGCGTTTGTGCGTGTTTGTAAAAGAGAACATCCTGAAATATATAGAGTTAGTAGAATGGGATAAACTAGAGTTCTAATGCTATACTCTTCCATGGTGGAAGAGTTCTAGTTATCTACAACTTCTAACTCCTCCCTTATCTAGGATAAAGTTCTCTTCAAGTACGGAGTCCTGCTCTTTATCAATTATGCAATCTTTTCGTTCATGAGATATCAAATATAACCACTTATGCTTATCCCCTTCACGTGCATGCTTTGTGCTTGAATCTGCCTGTGTCATGTGTATACCGTATATAGACCTGATTCATTGCATGTGTTCCTTTATCGATCATCAAAACAAAACTTACTCAAGCAAACAATGAGAATTAATCACAATGTCAATTCCCTTTTTCTTAGCGAACAATGGTAATCATAAATTACAAAACCAAAGTACTTAAAATATCACAAAACTACGTAAGTATAATACATCAATTTCTTTATTTCTTTTTCCGATTTCCTCTTCATTAGCACATATGGTACCAATTATAAACATTATAAATATATATATAGTATATGAGCAGTACGCCATTGTTTTCTGTGCTTTCTTTAATCCTTTAGGAAAATGCTTGAGTTTTGAATTGCCTTTTTATGCTTTTTTAAAACAAGCAAGTAGACATAGAATAAAATTTCTCTGCTAAAGGATTCTCTTATATATCCAGATCTGATATAGATAAACGCGCCATAGCCTGTCAATGAATTTTGGATTAATCAATTTGTTTTTCCTAAACACGATTTCTGCGAATGCTTGGAGAAATTATATATAATATGTCAAGTTGTTATAAATTAAACTATCACTTAAAAAGTTCATATAATAGTGAGGTACTAGCTAGTCATTTTAACACAAGCTTAGAGAAAATATGGTGACGGCGAAAATGAGCAGAGGGTTGGTGGTGCTCACCTTTACGGTGGCCGTAATCGTACTTTGCAGTCACCGGCCGGTGATGGCAGAAGAGGTAAACTCATGATATAATTAGTTACTCCTAGTTTTGTTACTGTATAAATTTTCTTTTCTTTTTCAGGGTGTTATAAAATTTCGTTAATGTTATATATAAGCTTCACCCCCAAATTATTCCTTCCCTTAAAACTAAACATTGTTTTTCTTCTCTTGGAACTGCTAAAACCAAAGTGAGCTAAAATGATATATTGATGCAAGAAATGTGGACAGCAACACGGTTCAATTATCTTTTCTATTAAGAAAAACTAATTGCAGTACTTGGGAAATTTGCCTTTACTAATTGTTAAAAGAAAGTTGTAAGTGGAATGAAGAGTTTCTAATGTTCTAGTCAAAAAATCAGTTAACGGAAAATCCTTGTTTGCATCCGTCTTTATACCAAATCATATTAATTTTGGTATAGTTAAGTGATAGATTGAGATGAGAATCATGGTGTTTGGGTAGTCAGCAACTCGACTATTTGACTAGCTATCTTTTACCTGCCATTATTATAGGCATCGAGTACCTTTTCCGTCAAGGATTAGGCACATTTTTGGTATTGACTGAAATTTGAACTATGGTTTCTACTTTTTTTCACTCACTTCTAACTTAGAGGTGAGAATGTTTCAAGTGAAAAAAATGTATGTACAAATACATGTTTTGTCATATACTGGTATATATATATGTCTATGCTCCCTTTTTTTATTATTTGAAAATTTGGACCATGCATGCTCTGTAAATGGTAAATGGCATAAAATAGTCCAACATCTTGTTATTGGCATCTGGTATATAGCTCATATTTGTTTTTGAGTTAACGCAATTGGCAGCCTATAGCCATTATCATATCCCCATCATCTTCATAGTATATCAGCCTCCATTGCAATATAATCCTTCTTTTTTCCTCTAGCTTTTGAGTTCAAAGTGTGTGAGAATATCTGTTAGAATTTGAATTCTAGTCTACAAGTTTTCACCCACTTCTGCCTGAGAGGTGAGAATGTATATTATTAACCGTTGTCAAGTGAAAGAAAAATATCCATATCTAAAATACGTGTCATGCATTTATTAATTAATCAACGTATATGTTTGAATGCGGATAAGTTTTTTTTCCGGTGATGCTAAAAACTGCTATGGACATGTAAAGCAGCAAGTGGAATTAGCAGATGTCAACAAGGGCGCCAATAGCACCACATCGCCATGGACATTATTTGTACCTAGCGCAACTGATAATTGCTTGAAAATCTACAATTGCGCGAGGTACGCAACTACCAGCTGCATAACCGAATGCTGCGCGTTATTCCCCTTCAGTACTATGCCTATAAGAAATTGCATTTGCTGGCGTTTGGCCGACCATGTGAATAAAGAAGTTTTTACTGCTCTTCAAAAGTATTGTGGCTTCAAGAATCCTTGTCCACATAAGCAAGTTAGTTCTCTGCCTTCTTTGATTTGTCTTCTAGGTTTATCTTCTACAGAGTGATATTTCCATAATCATGTCACATACGTGAATCTTTCTACGATAAGCATTAATTTATAATTTAATTAAAACTTGAAACCAATCTACCACCACAGATTAAACTATCCTGGTAATGTGAAATGGAAACATTGATAAAGAACGCTCAGAAAATTGTCTCTTTTAGATTTTTTCCTCAACTTCTTTTCCCTCAATTATTCAAAATAAATTAATAATTCATCCCAAATGTTCTTTCTTGAATGTATATTTTACTGTAGAATAAGAGACGGTATCTTACTACAAACTAAAGGAGTAAAAGCAAATGACTATTTTTTATTTGCCTTTTGAACATTGTTTTACTAGTTACATATATTAATTAGTTTTGCCCTCGCAAAATGTAATGTGAAAATCTAGTTGTTATTTGATGTAGGAAATCAAGCAGCTGCCAGAGGTGGTTGGAACTAGCAAGGCCATGGACAACAAAAGTAGTTGCAACCAACAACTGCAAGAACAGCCAACTTGTTGTGCAAAGGATAAAGAAAAGATAAATAATTGCATGTTAAACACAGCTTCCATAGACCAATGTTGCCCAACATTCAGTATTATGCTTGGCCGTAACTGCGACTGCTATAATTACGCCAAGAATTTAGACAATCAAGCTCTCATCACACTTGAGAGTTACTGTGATGTCACCAATCCATGCAAGAGTGCTCAAGTAATATAATTACTCCTCTTTTTTCTTCTTAATTAGTAATTCTTCTCATATTTGGGTCTACATGTGTGTTGACTAATGCATGTGTGTTTTTGTTGGTTTCAGGTGATGTAGGATTCTGATATGGGGATGGAAGTAATCTTACAAAAATGTTTAGTTCTATTCTATGATGAACAATTGGTCCTCTCTGTAGCATAGCTTCGTCATGTTTTGTTTAGTGCCCCTATATATGATGTTGAACATAGTTATTTCGCTATAAGCGAAAATGTGTTTTTCTGTTTGGCACTTGAGCAATGATGAGTTAACATATGATCGTTTTCGGCCCAACCCAAATTAATTTATTCCAAAATAGGATTATGATTGGCCAATTTTTTTTACGAAAATTACACATGTAGCCGTTCAAAAAGAAAATCGCAAAATGTATTTTTTTATGTACATATTTAACAATATTGTCGCTTCAAGCAGTATACTGTTTGTCCACATATGCAAGTTAGTTTTCTCCCTTCTTAATTTACATCATATTATATATTGATCACTCCTTTTTTATGTATGATAAAATAGCTCTATATGGTGGTGTTTATATAATCATGTTACTTGATAAAAGTTTCAACTCAAATTAATAATTCATTTTTAATGTTCTTTTTCGAAAGAGTATATTTTTCTACTACGTCGCTTTAAAATATAAGACACGGAGTATCTTACTAGAGGTACAAATTAATTAAAGTAGTAAGAGCAAATTAAACGGTTTTTTTTTTATATATGTATTTGTCTTTTGAACATCACTGCACAAAATCTAATGAGAAAATCTAGCAAGGAAATAAACCAGCAAGAGGTGGTGGAAACAATCGAGGCAACAGACAACAAGAGTAGTCGTAGCAACCAGATACTTGTTGTGCCAAAGATAAAGAAAAGATAAAGAGTTGTATTTAAACACAACCTCCATTGACCAATATTGCCCAACATTCAGAGCAATGTTTGGCGTTAACTGCGGGTGTACATAAATCGGGTTAGTTCAAATTTTTTAATTATCAAACCAAATCAATGGTGTCAAAGATAAAGAAATTAAAATATAAAGAGTTGCACGTTAAACACAACCTCCATTGACCAATATTGCCCAACATTCAGAGCAATGTTTGGCGTTAACTGCGGGGTGTACATAAGTCGGGTTGGTTCGGATTTTTTTAATTATCAAATCAAATCAATGGTGTCGAGATTTTTAAATCTATAAACCAAATCAAACCAACAAAGTCGGATTTTCAATCTCTGTTTTTCTCGGGTTCTTCGTTTTTTTTCCCGAGTTTTCGGATTTTTTTCCGGTAGAGTCTTCATATATAACACAAAATATGTAATTTGTACTACAAATATTTCTTTAGTCCTAGTAAGATATATTGATACAACTATATAATATATTTTTCAAGAAAATAACATAATAATATGAGATGAGTCATAGCATTGTACTAAAATATTCAATAACAAAGATAATAAAATCGCATAAAATAAATATGGCTAATTAATAAACCATAATAAAATTGAACATAATCTAAAAGTACTATATAAGTCATGCTAAAATAAATACATTTAATACGTATTATTAATTACATGAATAAGCATTAAAGAAAAAGATAAACTAAGTTATGCGTTTTCATTATAAACTAATGCAAAACTAAAAATAGATATCCAACACTATTGTCATTTCTATTGTTGAATTGAAATTATTTTGTTAGCGTTAATATTGATTTGAACTTTATTTGAGTTAACTACATTTATGGGCTATAAAACTTATTGGACTATTCAATAAGAATATTAAGTTCAAGATTGAAATAATACATTAAAAGATAAAACTGTGAAAAAGTTTAAGAAATATTTATAAATTACATTACAATAAATATTTATATATATAAAATATTTTTAAAAATTGTATAAATGTAATGTCGGATTGGTTTGAGTTTTTTTAGTTAAAACCAAACCAAACTAATTATGGTCGGATTTTTTTTTCCTAATACCAAACCAAATCACATCGATTTTGTTTTCCTGATTTGACTCGATTATCGATTTGGTTCAGTTTATCGGTTTTCGATGTACCTTCAGTTACGCCAAGGATTTAGCCAATCAAGCACTCTTATCGCACTTGACAGTTACATGGCTTATTCCTATTTACATGGCTTTTAATCTCAGTATCTTCCCCCTTAAGTCCTAATTACTTCCATTAGAGCATGACCAAGTCTCCTGTACAACAAGACACAAGTTATGTAAAATTCTCAACCAATTTTTTTTTTCATTCATTCCTTTTCGTTGGATATCTTGCTTTTTCTTTTTTCTTTTTTTTGTGATAGAAAAATTATTCCCCTTTCACTTGATTGAATTACGAGTAAAATGTTGCTGCTGGATCACCTATTTTTTTTACTTCAGCAAACAAGATAGTTCAAATGTAAACACCTCTCTTTTTTTCAACGGGAACAAAAAAGTTCTTAATTATCAAAAAAATTACATAAGCAGAATTCATCAATTTCCTTATTTCTTTTTCTTCTTTCCACTTCCTTAGAACATTATAAATATGTATAGTACATGCACAGTCGGTTATAATTTTCTGTGCTATTTTATCCTTTAGGGATCATTTGGTATGCGGGATAAGGTGGGATAAATCATGATACTAAATTTATACTATATTTTGTTGGTGGTATAAATTTATACCACTGTATAGGTCAAAATCCGCCTCTGTGGGATTTAACATGGAGCGTTATTATGGAAAGCGATATGGCCGAGGTCGACTAGTAGATAACAGGGTTCGTAGCCGAGCAGTCAATAACGACTGAGGTTGAGTATCAAGGGCAGTGCTAACGGCTAGTTTTTGTAATAGGATATTTAAGAGAATATTCTATTGAATACTCTTTGTATTTGTACTTTTAGGGTTGACAGAGGTATGTCCCATATAAATAGAAAAAGAGATAGGGGGAAAGAGCATGTAACATTCTCTAATAAGAGCACTTTTTTAGAAGTAGACTTTCTCTCTAGAAAAGATACAAACAATACTTTTCTAAGAAGATTCGATTATCTATTATTCCACATTTTTCCATCAGATGCCAGAATAGTTCCAATATTATTACATTTGTCTATCACTCATCGCTGTCAAAAGGAGGAATAATCCACCTCATTTAATATTTGACGAATCATTCTCCTTATTTACGTTAATGTCATTTATTCTTATTTATTGCTTGATATTCTTCCATCATTAATCATCTCGAAATATTCAATATTTGCATTTAATCCTCCACCAACACTGTCCGGTTTTATTTAAGTTGACTAGTTATAAATCTAGGGATATTATTATTAACTAGGTTTAATCCCTTTTTATATAAAATTAATTAGTTTAATTAAAGATTTATATTTTTTGGTCAAACAATTTGGCGTCGTCTGTGGGGACTTTCTAGTTAAGTTTTTAGTTTTTTCTAGATCTATAACTGGCACAGTTCACAAAAAAAAAAAAAGCCTCCTACTTTCTTGTACACACGGATCTGACATGGCAGGTAACAGAGAATAAAGAATAAAGGTAGTAGCCGATCTCACTACCAACCTCTTAAACACCATCAATGAGGTCTCTGAAACAGAAGGCGAAGACATAACGCCTAACGCCTCTTCCAGGCGAAGTGGGTCACCCCTCCCTCATGGCAGCATCACAGCATCCCGCGGTAAAAGAGTTTTCACGTTCATAACGGAAGAGGTGCCACCAGAAGTGAAGAAACTACTTGAGGCTTGGCTTTCAAACACGCTGAACAACATCCTCGATAAGCCCGCTCAGGAGGCAGTTAGAGAGAATGCAAGGACTTGCATTACACCAGCAACAGCCGAGCAGCACGACCATCTCCCTCTAGTAACAGGTATCGCTCATAATGTTAATAATGCAGGTAATGATACCCTCACGGCCATCATGAGGAAGATGGAAGAAATGAAAAATGAAAATAAAATACTTCGGGACCAAATGAGAGAGCACCAAGAAAGAGTCGACAAAATACTGGGTGCCCCAAAACTCTTACCAAAAAGAGATGCTGGTCGGTTCGTTAAGCAACCCTACAGTGATGAAGCCGCCCTACGTGCCATACCCAAGACCTTCAAGATGCCGCCTTATCTGAAAATATATGGCGGTACGACCGACCCCGAAGATCATGTAACTCACTATGTCACTGCGGTAAAGGGCAATGATCTCGCCAAAGAACAAGTATCCTCCATCTTGTTGAAAACGTTCGGCGAAACCCTCACCGGAGGAGCATTAACTTGGTATTCACAGCTGCCCGCACACTCCATTGAAATATTCGAAGAGATGGCCGACAAGTTTGTAATGGCCCATGCTGGGATAAAAAGGCGGAGGCTAGAGTGAACGATATATTTGCCATCAAACAATCATCCGGAGAGGGATTGGGGGACTTCCTCGCTCGATTCAACTGAGTGAGAATGACCTTACCAAATGTATCGGAAGGAATGGCTGTAGCAGCTTTCCAAAACGGGCTGAACAGGGATGGCTCAAGGGTGACTAGAAAATTAATAAGTCGTCTTATAAAATATCCTCCAACTACTTGGGATGAAATACACAATGCCTACTGTGCTGAGGTCCGTGCAGACGAAGACGACCTGAATGGGCCAACCCATCGGTTGACCTCGGCTTATTAAGTCGGCTTATGTTTTGTGCTCGAAGTCCCGACATGCGAAGTAATTCGCCAGTTCATAAGATGCCCGAACATGACTAACAATGAGGCCATCTGCTTCGATGTTTTGTGATCGAGGGATCTGGTCGAGCTGACATTCATCAAACTCGGGCAGTAGTTTGCAAATCTCAGCTGGTATTTTTGTAACCTTGGCTCTTTGATCTGGAAAGTCCCTGTGACTTGGTTGACGACGAGTTGAGAGTCACAGCGTAGGATGACCCGTCTCGCCCCGTACTTGAGTGCTAGCCTTAATACTACAATCATGGCCTCATACTCAGCCTCATTATTAGTCATGTCCGGGCATCTTATGGACTGGCGAATCACTTTGCATGTCGGGACTTCGAGCACAAAACATAAGCCGACTTAATAAGCCGAGGTCAACCGATGGGTTGGCCCATTCAGGTCGTCTTCGTCTGAACGGACCTCGGCACAGTAAGCATTGTGTATTTCATCCCAAGTGGTTGGAGGATATTTCATAAGACGACTTATTAATTTTCTAGTTGCCCTTGAGCCATTCCTGTTCAGCCCATTTTGGAAAGCTGCTACAACCATTCCTTCCGATACATTTGGTAATGTCATCCTCACTCAGTTGAATCGAGCGACGAAGTCCCTCAATCCCTCTCCGGGTGATTTTTTGATGGCAAATATATCGTTCACTCTAGCCTCCGCCTTTTTAGCCCCAGCATGGGCCGTTACGAACTTGTCGGCCATCTCTTCGAATGTTTCAATGGAGTGTGCGGGCAGCTGTGAATACCAAGTTAATGCTCCTCCGGTGAGGGTTTCGCCGAACTTTTTCAACAAGATGGAGGATACTTGTTCTTTGGCGAGATCATTGCCCTTTACCGCAGTGACATAGTGAGTCACATGATCTTCGGGGTCGATCGTACCGCCATATATTTTCAGATAAGGTGGCATCTTGAAGGTCTTGGGTATGGCACGTGGGGCGGCTTCACCACTGTCAGAAGAAGGAATCATCCACCTCATTCAATATTTGGTGAATCATTCTCCTTATTTACGTTAATGCCATTTATTCTTATTTATGGCTTGATATTATTCCTTCATTAATCATCTCGAAACATTCAATATTTGCATTTAATCCTCCACCAACACTGTCCAGTTTTATTTGAGTTTACCAATTATAAATCTGGGATATTATTATTAACTAGGTGTCACGACCCAAAATCTAACCACAACTCAATATCTCAATACAGAAAAATCTTTGAACATAAAGATGGAAGCAATTTAATAATTTAGAAAAGCCTTTTGAAAATAGAAATATCCAAAATACGATACAATCCATCCAAAAATCGGGGTGTGACTGAGTATATGAGCGTCTAAGTCAGAATACAGTCCACTACAGTGTCTAGAGAAATAAACTGAAAAATACAACTAGTGATATAGAAGGAGAATCAAGGCCTGCGAACATCGTGCAACTACCTTGGTAGTATCCGAACTCTGAAGTCTCAATCAGCAACTGCCGACGTGATCAAAAATGCCTAGATCTGCACACGAGGTGCAATGAGTAACGTGAGTACATCCAACTCAGTAAGTAATAAGTCTAAACTTTGGACTAAAAGGTAGTGACGAACTTAACCGGTATAGATAAAATAGAAATAAATGTACAGAAATGTAGGCATGCTTTTAAATTAAATAGGCAACTCAAAACAATAAAGCGAAGCAGATCCTAACAGTGTAAAGAATATAACTCTGCTATATCTACATGCCAATGCATATGCGATATGTGATGCACCATGATGTCAGCCTCATGTGCTCACACTCTCGAATGCTCAACCACTCGGTACTGTATATGCCCCATACGGCCCAGGGAAGATCCATCTCGGAACATATACATCACTAACTAAAAGTCACCCAGTACCGAGGAAGGCCAATCCAGCCCTGTGGAGAAGATCCATCTCCAGGTATCAAGTACTTCGGACAAGATCCATGTCTAGGGAAGATCCATCCCTCAATAATATCAACCGTGCTCACTAGGGGTGTGTTACAGACTCCGGAGGGACTCCTACAACCCAAGCGCTGTCATAAAATCAGTATAACCGTTGCGGCGTGCAACCCGATCCCATAACTGTCACTCATAATCAGGCTCTCAGCTTCACTCAGTCATCAATCTCTTCAGTCTCACTCACGAGCTCACAATATCATGAAAACTAGCCCGAAACAATGATATTATGTATCAATAAATAACAACTGAGACAAAGATATGATATGAAATGCATGTACATGACTGAGTACATAATATCAATGAAATCAGTGAGATGACAACAAGAAACGACCACTAATACTGGCATAAAGCCTAAACATGATATCTAGCTTGATTGACAGCTCAATTACTTTATCACAAGATGAAAATACGGATATCAACAAAATAGAGTCACTATACAGTGCCATGGAATCAACCAGGCCACAATTCTCATGGTGCACGTTCGCATGCCCGTCACTTGGCATGTGCGTCACCTCAATACCAATCGTATAGCACATAGTTCGGGGTTTCAAACCCTCAGAACTAAGTTTGAAAGCGTTACTTACCTCAAACCGAGCAAATCTTACTTCGAAATGCCTTTGCCCCTCGAATCAGTCTCCAAACGCCCCGAATGTAGCCACAAGCAGTACTGTATAATTAATATAGGCTAAAGGAATCAATTCCACAAGAAAAATACGAAATTATAAGCCAAAATCCGAAATTGGCTCGACCCGGCACCTGGGCCGACGCCTGAAATCCGATAAAAGTTATAAAACCCGAAAGTCCATTCACTCACGAGTCTAACCATACCAAATTTATCAAAATCCGACACCATTTGGTCATCCAAATCCCCAAAATCCACTCTCCAACTCTCAAGCCCTAAACCCCAAAATTTCACTTCAAAATCTCACTAATTAGGTGGAGAAATCAGTGGGGAAACAAGTTTTATGATCCGAAACGAGTACAAGAAGCTTACCTCAATAATCACCTCGAAAAGCTTCTCCAAAATCGCCTAAGTCCGAGTCCAAAATATTGAAACAAGACTAAAATTAAGAACCCTTGCTTTTAAACCTTCTGCCCAGACTTTTCGCATCTGCGGAGCTATTGTCGTACCTACGACGCTGCATCTGCGGTGAAAATGCCACTTCTGCGAAAGTCACTTGCACCTCCAGGGCTCGCACCTGCACTCCAGGTTCCGCACCTGCGAACGTGCATCTGCGGCCCTGGCCTCGCTTCTGCGGAGTCACTCTCTCCCAGCTGCCCCTGCACCTGCGCCCACTTGTCCGCATCTGCGCTACCACAGGTGCGGGAAATTCTTCGCACATGCGACCCCTGTCCTTCATGGCCTTGCCCGCATCTACGATTCATCCCACGCTTCTACATGCTCGCACCTGCGGTGCCCACTCCGCAGGTGTGGTTACACCAGTAGCAGCAACTCTTCAGCTACTTCATCAACTCAAAAATAAAGTCCGTTAACCACCCGAAATCTACCCGAGGCCCCCAGGACCTCAACCAAACATGCCAACAAGTCATATAACCCAATACGAACTTAGTCGAATTTTCGAACCACACAAAACAATACCAAAACACCGATTACACCCGGATTCAAGCCTAAAGAATTTTTAAACTTTTGAATTCTACAAACGATGCCGAATCATACCAAACCGCGCCCGATTGACCTCAAATTTTGCACACAAGTCATATTCAACATTACAGACCTACTCCAACTTTCGAAATCGGAATCCGACCCCGATATAAAAAAGTCAACCCCCTAGTCAAACTTCCGAAAATTCGACTTTCGCCATTTCAAGCCTAAATCAGCTACAGACCTCAAATTCACAGTTCGGACACGTTCCTAAGTCCAAAATCACCCAACATAGCTAACAGAATCGACGAAACTCCATTCCAGAGTCGTCTTCACACCATTTTGACTACGGTCAAAATTCTAAAACTTAAGCTTACGTTTTAGGGACTAAGTATCCCAAAATACTCCGAAACCAAAACAAGACCTCCCGACAAGTCACATAAGCAGAAACAGATACGGAGAATACAGTAAATAGGGGATCGGGGCTAATACGCTCAAAACGACCGGCCGAGTCGTTACACTAGGTTTAATCCACTACTAGAAAATGGCTATTTTTCGACTGCCAAAACAGTCGGAATGCGGTCAGAAAATGCTAATTTCCGACTACATTCGGACCGAAAAATCGTTGTCGCAAAATAGCTGGTCTGAAATAGTTTACGACCGAATCGGTCTGTAATTTGCGACTACATTGGTCGCAAAGTCAAAATAAAAAAATGACTAATAAATGTTGCCAACTGTCCGACTGACGCGGTCGCAATCGATTTAAATTAAATTTTAATTTTATATTACTTTTCCCACTTGCAAACCGTATATATAATTATAATTTTCTTTATTCTTTCTCACCGGAGTGGTCGCAAATAATATAAAGTATTTTTATTTTATTTGAGTTTTTCCACTATTGTGGTCGTAAAATTAATTTAATATTATTTATTTATTTATATTTTTGACTACTGCGGTCGCAAACCTAATTTAATATTATTTATTTATTTATTTTTCCCACTACAGCAGTCGCAGATGTCCTGAAAGTGAAAATTTTTAAAGCACTTTGCGACTACCCTGGTCGGAAATCAGTCGAAAAACTGGGAATTTCTTTGACATATTTTAACTGTTTTAAAGCACCACCACTAGCAAATTCAAATATACATCAACTAAATAATTAATCCACTAAGCTAACCAATCAATCCACCATTCTAACCAATTAATCCACTATTTCAACTAATCAAATCCATAAAATGCAAACAATTATAGAAAACATAAATATTTATAAATAAAACATCCAAACACAAGTTAAACGCACCGTTCAATCTAGTCTAAAACATTACAATCATAGTCAAGTGTAAATATTACCAAGTCTAAACATCTAACCACAACAAATAATAATGTCTCAAATATCACAACCACAACAAACTAAAACTCATTATCCCTGCCATCATCTCCATTCAAAGGATCAAATTGACGCATGCTCATAAGTTTCTCCACTAGACTTTATAATTTGTTAAAATTTGTGCGATCTTCTTTCCGTTCCTCCTTCAACTCTTAAAATTCTTTTCGTAATTCTTCTACCTCTTCGTGATTATGCGAATAATTCGCACCACTAGACAACAATGTCGAAGAACGACCTACTGAATGTTGTGATCCAAGACCGTAGTTTTTACCTTTCTTTATGCCACTAACCACTTGTGTCCATATTGAAGCTACATCATTGAGTGATACTTGGGTTGAGCTACCATTCTCGGAATCGGTTGACTTTGACGTCATTACTCAAAACGTTTATGATAGACTTCCTGAAATTTAAATGTTAAGCATTAAATTATGTTATACTAACAGTATGAAGCACCAATAAATAAATTATGAGAGCCTCATATAATGTTCTACGTAGATGCAAATGAAAAAGTAAATGCAATTGATAATCTATAGCTGGGGAAAGGATTAAAGACATGAACCTATAAGATTCTTATTTCATATTCCTTTTTAGAGTAGACCAACAAGAAAGCAGAGTTTAATATGCAATCCTCAAAAAGGCTACATCAGGGGAAAAGGAACAAAGACATAAGCTTTTAAGTACTAGAGATTTCTATATTTTCTACTAACACATATCTCTAACAAGACTAAAAGACTCCTAGAGAACTAAACCTTTACCACAACTAATTGGTATCGCCTACATGGATTTTTTTACTTTACATGTGAAAATTTTCTCGCATTGCCCGTACCAAGCCTAAATAAAGGAGAGTTGCAATAGGCGTAAAACTAGTCAATTTCTAATGAACCCTCACAATAAGAACTGCATCTGATAGCCACACTATTATATACAATTTAAATATAATAGTATAGAACATATATTTATATGTAATGAACTGCTTCTCGGACAACTAATAGTAGTAATGTTAACTTTTAATACATATAAATTCTCGTAGATATTTTAGGACAACTCAACACATATCTTTTGAGAGGAAAATTTGTTTTACCCACCAACGGAAGTGGAAGAAAGAGACACAAAGCGAAAACTGGAAATTAGAACGTTACCATGGAAAGAAATTACATATGAATAATTTATATGTAAAGAACTTGTTCTCCATCTTTACAATTTCATTTTTTAAATATTTAAATATAATGGTATAGAATATAACATTATATACCCAATTCAAAAAAGAAACTCCAAATAAAAATCAAAGAGAAAATACAGAAAATTAAGAACCACGGATTCCAACATAAACACATAAAAACTGCCTTCTAATGAAATTAAAGTTATCTATTTAAAGATTGTGCCTTAGAATTGAGGATGGAAAAAATAAATAGAAAGGGAAAAAGAAACTTACCCGTATGAGGATATGAGAAGAAAGAGAGAGAGCTGAGTAGTGATTAGTGATTTAGCTCGTCAGTCGCACAGGAGGAGTGAACGAGAGATCAAAGAACAACAGCCTCAAGGGTAAAATATCGGTCGAGCAGAGAGAGAGGGGAAATTGGAAAAATAGGGTTTTGACCTGTAATATTAGATTAAGTTTAGTGACTACCGTAGTCGCAAAATCACTTAAATATTTTTTTATCGTTTTAATTTTAATATTGCGACCGACGCGGTCACTTAGTGGGTCAACTGATATTTTTTAATTTTTAATGTCCGACCGAATCGGTCGCAAAAGTGAAGACGGGAAATTATCGCGCTGTTTTTCCACTGCTTTTATCGGAATAATAGTCGATTTTTTTTTTCAAAACAAAGTAATAAAAATTCAATCTTTTTCCGACTGTTGCGGTCGCAAAAGCAGTCCCATTAGCGACTACTTCATTTCAGTCGAAAATTTCGGTCACAAATTAATATTTTTCTAGTAGTGATCCCTTTTTATATAAAATTAATTAGTTTAATCAAAGATTTACACTTTTTGGTCGAACAACCACCTACCAAACATAGTATAAACTTTGTTTTAAACTTAATCTCGAATATCTCATCTTATTCCTCCTTATTCCATCAAACCCGATATTATTTTATCCCACCTCCCAGGTGAGATAAATTAGTCTAAGAATTATAATCTTAGGAATATAATCCCGGGATAATTTAGTCCACGTAACAAAACGACCCCTTGGTACTTAAGTATCTTGATTAGGACAACGCTAGAATTTTCAATTGCCTTTCTCTGCTTAAGGAATCTCTTATTTGCATTTCCTTGGCTTACGAACTTGATAAAAAATATATCCAGATCTGTAATAGGGAAACGCGCCATTTCCTGCCATTGAATTTTTCAATTAGTAAGATTTGTTTTTCCTCAACACGATTTCTGCGTATGCTTATAGAAATTGTATAATATGTCCAGTTGTTAAAAAATAAATTAAAATTATCACTTAAAAAGTTTATATAATTGTGGGGTGCTACTAGCTAACTAGTCATTTTAACACAAGCTTAGAGAGAGTAAAGATGAAAATGAGCAGAGGGTTGGTGATGCTCACCTTTATTGTGGCTGCAGTCGTACTATGCAGTCACCGGCCGGCGACAGCAGAAGAGGTAAACTCATCATATAATTAGTTACTCCTAATTTTGTTACTGTATAAAGTCTCTTTTATTTTTCAGTGTTTTGTAAAATTTCCTGTTATAAGCTTCACCGCCAAGTTGTTCGTTCCCTTACTACTGAAGAAGATTGATTATTTTTCTTCTCTTGGGTCAGCGCACTCACTACATTTCCCCCTCACCATAAAACAAAGATCGATTTTTCTTTTTAATATTCCAGTAGTTGGGAAACTTGCCAAAGTTATAATTGGAATATAAAGTTTTCAAAAGTTCTAGTCAAATGTAAATTTGTTGACGGAAATGCTTATTTCCAACAGTATTTTCACCAAGCCATATTAGCTTGTAGCCGGCTTGGCCAAGCTTCTAAAATCTATTTGTTTTAAAAAGTGATTTTTTCAAAAATATTTTTAAAAAAATTACTTTTGATCAAAATATTTGACTAATTAATTTAAAAAGTATTTTTAGAAAAAAATTATTTTTTTTATTTTTCAAAAACTGTTTCTTTTTATCCAAAAACACTTTTTTTTTCCTTAAAAAAGATTGGTAACACTTTTAACCAAGAAAAAAAAATTAGGCCAAAAAGACTATTAGAGTATTGGTTAAGTGATACACTAAGGTGGGAGTCCTAATGTTCCGACGGTCAACTACCTTTTACCTTCCATTGGTATTGCTATTGAGTAATTTTGTCCACTAAAATTTAGGCATCTGCTGTTTGTATTTGTTGGAATTTGGACTCTCATCAGTTTGTTTTCGTCCGCACTAAAAACTTGCTATGGACATGTAAAGCAGCAAGTGGAATTAGCAGAGGGCGCCAATAGCACCACGTCGCCATGGACACTAGCTGTACCGGGCGATAAATTTGGTTGCTTGAAGTTGTTCAATTGCGCTAAGTACCCAACGACCAGCTGCATAACTCAATGCTGCACTTTATTCCCCTTCACTACTAACCCTACGCGAAATTGCATCTGCTGGCGTTTGGCCGAGCACGTCAATAAAGAAGCTTTTACTGCTCTTCACAATTATTGTGGCTTCAAGAATCCTTGTCAACATAAACAAGTTAGTTTTCTGCCCTTCTTTAATTTGTCTTCTCTATTCATCACTCTTTTATTTGTCTCTTGAACATTACTCTATACTAGTTAAGGACGAAGAATATAAAATAGTTTTAACCTCACAAAATCATCTAACGCAAAAATCTAGCAGGAGGAAATCAACCAGCAAGAGGTGGTCGAAACTAGCAAGGCCATGGACAACAGGAGTAGTAGAAACCAACAGGTGGCAACTTGTTGTGCAAAGGATAAAGAAAAAATAAAAACTTGCATGTTAAGCACAGTTTCCATAGACCAATGTTGCCCAACATACAGTATAATGCTGGGCCGTAACTGCGACTGCTACAATTACGCCAAGGATTTAGACAATCAAGCTCTCATCACACTTGAGAGCTACTGTGATGTCCCCAATCCATGCAAGAAAGTTCAAGTAATTACTCCCTCTTTTAATTGTTTCTTCTTATTTTCATATTACCAGTACTGAGTCCTTATATATATATATATGCCTAATTACGGTATTTTACTCTTTCAATTTTGTTCTCGCAATCTTAGTTCTTTTTTTTTTTCCCGACCAAAATAACGTTTATTTTTAATTGAAGAGATTCTTGTCTCCTGTTTTCTAACTAAAACTAATATGGGACCTGCAAGTTTACGCATGTTTATACTAACTTTTGTAAAGTAGTCCTAAAAATCCAAAAATGAAATGATATATATGGACCCTATATTCCCTCTTTCAAAAGTAGTATAAAAATAAATAAAAAACAAAATGAAAAAACGTTGTTGCCTGCTAAACTATTTTTCACTAACCTCAAAAGATCTTGTGTGTTGCTAGAGGCTAAAGCATTCTCTTAATTAGTTTCAGTTTGACAAGAGAATGTTTCCATTTATTTGGGAGACGGGTGAAGGATAATTTGAATTGCAGAGAGAGATTGTAACAATAACATTTTCAGCAGGATGGAACTTTTGCTTATTGAAAGAGTAAGAGATTTTTCAAATTTCCTTGCGTATCTACTAATGCATGTGTTTTTTATGGTTTGATCAGGTGATATAGGATTCTGAGACGGGGATGGAAGTAATCTTAGAAATTTCTGTGGTTCTAGTTTGTATGAAATTTTAATTGAATGCAAAAGTCTCGACGGTTGTTCACTTCAATATTGTCATGCATGAAATGAATTTTCCTTTTTTTTTTCCCCTTCTTGTATTCCCTCCCCCTCCCCCACCTTCCTTTATNAATGGAGTCTGGGGGAGGGGGGGGAGGGGTTAGAGTGTATGCAGACCTTACCCCTAACCCGAAGGAGTAGAGAGGTTGTTTTCGAAAGACCCTCGGCTCAAAAAAATAAAAAGACAAAATGACAAAATGACTAAAAGGAAAGAATATTAGTATCACAACAACAATCATATGATAAATAGAAACACCATGAAATCCAGAAGAAAGATGCAAAGCAAAGGGAGACAATATTAGTAAATATTAGTATCATCACAACAATCATAAGAAAAATAGGAACACCATGAAATCTAGAAGAAAGATGCAAAGCAAAAGCAATAGCTAGTAAATAGGACATGCGCTGAAAAGCGAAATAGTAAGCCACAACATTGCCAATAGCTATCTTAGACAAAAACCCTACATGGCTAGTCCGACAATGGTACGAAGTAAGGCACGACTCAACTACCTCCTAACCTACAACCCTAGTTCTTAATAATTAGTACTCCGTCTTAATTTATATCAGGCGCGTTATTATGGGATATCCTAAATTGACACCATTTCACTAAGAATCTATTTTGTACAACTAACTTCAAAACGTATGTAGAAAATTTATTTCTCAATCAAATTTAAGTTTTGAGGTAAATATATTTTCTCTTTAATCAACTTAACCGTATGGTCCTGATCCTGCATCGCGAAAGCGATTACAGAAATCCAATTAATTGAATTATTCCGCCAACAAAGATTCTTTTGATAAAGAAAAAATACATTACGGTAAATCTTAGATTGTAAAGGGCAAAACTGTTAAGTTACAAACTACTTACTGCATTATAAGCAGAATGCAGGTAGAAATTTTAGCAAGGAACGGCCTTGCGAGTTGGGTGAGAATTTCCCCTTTGCTTCATCCTGACGTGGGAAGATTTGTTTCAATACTAATTGCCCTGGCGTGAATTGTCTAGACCTAACCTTTTATTGAAAGCTCTTGTCATTTTGTTCTGGTAGAGTTGACCGTGACACACTGCGTTCATTCTTTTACCATCAATCAGAGCTAGTAGTTCGTACCGGTTCCTTACCGATTCCGCGTCGCTGAGCTCGGCTTCTTGTATAATTTTTAAGGAGGGGATCTCTATTTCGGTAGGGATAATAACTTCAGTACCATAGACCAGTAGATAAGGAGTTGCCCCAATTAATGTACGAACTGTGGTGCGGTATCCGAGCAAAGCAAATGGTAGCTTTTTGTAACATTGCTTGTAATTGTCCACCATTTTCCTCAATATCTTCTTTATGTTCTTGTTGGCGGCTTCTACGACTCCATTCATTTGCGGTTTGTATGCTGTAGAATTTTGATGCTTGATCTTGAATGTTTCACATATGGATTTCATCAGATCACTGTTGAGATTGGCGGCATCGTCAATAATGATTGACTCAGGTACTCCAAACCGATAAACAATGCGGTCCCGGACAAAATCTTCTACGACGTTCTTAGTTACAGCCTTATAGGACGCAGCTTCAACCCATTTTGTGAAGTAATCTATAGCCACTAAAATAAACCTGTGTCTGTTTAAAGCAGCGGGTTCAATTGGTCCGATGACATCTATGCCCCAAACAGAGAAAGGTTAGGGTGAACTCATTGCATTGAGTTTGTTGGGTGGCACTCGTATCATATCAGCATGTATCTGGCATTGATGACACTTTTGAACATATTTGATACAGTATGTTTCCATAGTCATCCAGAAATACTCTGCTCTTAATATCTTCTTGGCCAAAACGAAATCGTTCATGTGAAGTCCGCAAGTTCCGGTATGTATTTCTTCGAGCAATCTAGATGCCTCATTTGCATTGACACATCGCAGTAATCCCAAATCGGGAGTCCTTCTATACAAAATTCCTCCGCTTTGAAAGAAATGGTTAGCCAATCTTCGAAGAGTGCATTTCTGAGTGTGTGTAGCATTCTCTGGATATTCCCCCTTTCCAAAGTATTCTTTGATATCGTGGAACCATGGATTTTCGTTGAACTCTTCTTCAACATGAGCACAATAAGCTGGCTGCTTATGAATTCCTATTGGGATAGGGTTGATGAAATTCTTGCCTGGATATTGTATCATGGAAGACAAGGTGGCTAATGCATCTGCAAACTCATTCTGGATCCTCGAAACATATTTGTATTCTATCCTTGTGAACCTTTTGATCAACTCCTGTACACAATGCAAGTTTGGCAATATTTTGGTGTTCTTAGTGGCCCATTCTCCTAGTACATGGTGTACCAATAGATCAAAATCTCTTATTACCAGCAACTCCTGAACATTCATGTCGATGGCCAACCTGAATTTTGCCTCATATTTTGCCATATTGTTGGTGCACAAGAACCTGAATTTTGCGGATACCGGGTAATACTGACCGATTTCTGATACTTAAAAAAACTCTGATGTCCACTCCCTTGAAGTTTGGTGCTCCATCAAAGAACATCTTCCAACCGTCGTATGCTTCGGTAATATCTTCTCATACAAATGACACTACCTCGTCGGGAAAATCCATCTTCAATGGTTCATATTCTCCGTCTACAGGATTCTCTGTCAAGTGATCAGCCATTGTTTGCCCCTTTGACTGCCTTCTAAGTCACGTAGATGATGTCGAATTCACTTAGCAATATCAGCCACTTTGCTAACTTACCCGTAGGCATAAGTTTCTGAAAGATGTATTTTTGTGGATTCATCCTTGATATGAGATATGTAGTGTTTGCATAGAAATAATGTCTCAACTTTTGGGCTACCCTTGTCAAAGCGCAGTAGGTGCGTTCCAACAAAGAATACATGGCCTCGTAAGGTGTGAACTTCTTGCTCAGGTAATATATCGCTTGCTCTTTCCTCCCAGTTTCGTCATGCTGTCCTAGAACACAGCCAAATGCTCCATCCAATATGTACAGATAAAGAAACAGAGGTTTTCCTGGTTCTGGCGGGACCAACACGGGCGGTTTAGATAAATACTCCTTGATTTTGTCGAAGGCTTTCTGGCATTCTTCAGTCCAGCTTGTTGCAACATCTTTCCTCAGTATCTTGAAGATCGGTTCACATATTACCGTTGATTGTGGTATAAAATGGCTAATATAATTGAGACATCCTAGAAAACTTATCACATCCTTCTTATTCTTTGGCGGTGGCAAGTCCTGGATAACTTTGAATTTTGACAAGTCTAACTCAATACCTCGGCGACTGACGATGAAACCTAGCAACTTTCCAGTAGGTACTCCGAAGGCACATTTTGCAGGGTTTAACTTCAAGTTGTATTTTCGAAGCCGATCGAAAAATTTCTTTAGGCCTACTATGTGATCCGAACTCCTTTTAGATTTGATGATAACATCATCCACGTATACCTCTATTTCCTTGTGTATCATGTCTTGGAAGATAGTCGTCATGACCCTCATGTAGGTGGCCCCAACATTCTTCAAACCAAACGGCATCATTTTGCAACAATATATTTCCCATGGTATGATAAAGGCGATCTTTTCGGCATCCTCTTCATCTATCCAAATACGATGATATTCTGCAAAGGAATCTACAAAGGATTGGAGTTCATGCTTGGCGCAACTGTCAATCAGTATGTGTATGTTAGGCAGCATGAAATCATCCTTAGGACTTGCTCTGTTCAAATCTCGGTAATCGACACGGACTCTAACTTTCCCATCTTTCTTCGGAACTGGCCCAATGTTGGCTAACTAGGTCGGGTATTCGACCACTCGAAGAACTTTGGCTTTGATTTGCTAGGTGACCTCCTCTTTTATATTCAGACTCATATCTGGCTTGAACTTTCTGAGCTCCTGCTTTACTGGTGGACACATTGGATTGGTAGGTAGCTTGTTAGCTACTATGGATGTGCTTAACCCAGTCATATCGTCGTAGGACCATGCGAAAATATCCTCATATGCCCTTAGGAACCTGATATACTCTTTGTTCTCTGGCGGTGGTAGATGAATGCTTATATGAGTTTCCTTGACTATTTCAGAATCCCCTAGGTTAACGGCCTCAGTTTCCTCCAAATTAGACTTTGGTTTGTTTTCAAAATTCTCTACTTGAAAATTTATTCAGGTATTATATCAACTTCCATATCTTCCGAATCACTGTCATTATATTGCGTTGTCTCATTACACGTCACAGTCGTAGATTCATCGGGATATGTAATAATTATGATTAAAAGAATGTGAAAAGATAATAATAAATACGAAAATCAATAATGCATTAATAAAACTTTAAAAATGTCAACATGTACGACTCGATGGGTCGAGTAATTATTTCAAAACAAAATACTGAAAATGTCTTAAATGCTCAAAACAATTTGAAAACAAGTCATGCTAATTTGCCAGGCTACTCAGGAACTCGGTGAGCCCTGGATGGTGCAGCAGTCCAGTTCTTGAGAATAACTCCTTCTTCCATTGACTGAATGGTAAGATCCTCCTCCTTCTCCTCCTCAACAATTGCTCTGCAGTCTATGTCTTCTTCATCCAGAAATAACTTCCTCATACCGGCCAAAATCTCATCTTCCTCGGATCCCCACATTATGTAAGCCTGACGAAATGTCTTGGTGCAGAGGTGGTATGGGTTGTTCCAGCAGATAATAATGGTTGCGCCATGGTGGTATCCAATCTTGATGTTCTTGTACGGTATATTCATACCCGAGTCCAAAGGTTGTGCCATGATACTGTGGTTGTATGGGTTTAGTGATCCCTTGAAGCTTTTTGCTGAGACCTTTGCCTGGTTCATATCCCGTCCATAGCAATATGCTTTCTATCTTCTTGCTCCATTATCGATCCTTTTCAATTGTGTTCACCCACTCAATGCGGTGATATGTTTCTCCACCCAACTTCCTCCTACTTTTGATGACTGAATGGTCTGGTTAAAATAGATAGGGTTGCTTCCATCTCCATGAATGATCACCTTCTGATGATTCCATTCGAACT